TCTTATCGAGGATGTCGCCATCCTCGTCGACCTTGCGGCCCTGCAGGCGCTTGGCATCGCCCTCGATCACACGACCAATGATACGGTCAGTGCCATCGGTGACCACGCCGTCCTTGCCCACGACCGCGTTGTCAAAGCCGAAGAATGGGCCCTCGGGCTTCTGCTCATCGGCTCCGGGGACGAGTTCAGCCTGGCCAATGACCTTGCCATCATCACCCCAGATCTGACCCTTCTTGTCGACCTTGCGTCCGGCCAGTCCTTTGCCTCCAGAGACGACACGACCAAAGACTCGGCCCTGCCCGTCAACGACGTTGCCGGCCTTGTTGACGACCTTACCCTCAAGGATAGAAAGATCCACCTCCTCGGGCTTTTCTTCCTCGGGCACTTCGTAGGGCTCGGCGTGACCCTTGACGCTGCCGAACTTGTCGATAATGTCTCCATCCTCATCGACAGTGCGTCCGCGTAGGTTCTTCACATCCCCTTCGGTCACCTTACCGACAATATTGCCCTCTTCGTCCTCAACGAATCCTTCCTTGTTGACCACGAGGCCCTCCAGACCAGCAAACGGTCCCTCGGGCTTCTTCTCGCGCTCGTTCTCGGGGATCAGCTCGACCCGTCCAATGGGCTTAGGGCCGTCGTAGATCTGGCCATCGTGGATCTCCTTTCCGGCCAGCTCCTTCGGGTTACCTTCAACGACCCGACCGATGGGGACGCCCTTGGGACCGATCACATAGCCGAGCTTGTTGGGGGTGAGACCTTCCAGGCTGGAGAGGTCGATCTTCTCGGGCTCGACCTCGGGCTCGGGCTCCTCGTCGGGGGCCTCGTAGTACTCCGCCTTGGCGATAACGTTGCCGTGCTTGTCGGTCACATCACCGTCCTCGTCAACGGGGCGGCCCAGGACCTTCTTGGCGTCGCCGTCGACGATCTTGCCGACGCGCTTGCCGTTCTGGTCCTCGACCCAGCCATCCTCGACGACATGCAGGCCCTCCAAGCCGCCAAAAGGTGGCTCATCAGGGTACTCCTCAGGAGCGAGGGTCTGGGCTCGGCCGATGACGTTGCCGCGGTTGTCCCAGAACTGGCCCTTGTCGTCAAGTTGAGCACCGAGAGAGGCGAGCTTCTTCGCATCACCCTCGATCAACTCACCGACGGGTTTGCCGGTGGCCGGGTTGATGATCTTGCCCAGCTTGTTGCACCGCAGGCCCTCCAGAGAGGAGATGGGGGGGAGCTCTTTCTCCGCTTCTGTGCCTTCTTCGGCTGCCTCCTCAGGGGCCTCCTCCGGGGCCTCCTCAGTAGCCTCTTCGGGGACCTCTTCCTGAGCGGTCTCATACTTCTCCTCGGCGGCATCTCCGGGGGCACTCTCAGGAACACCTTCGGTCGCCGCCTCAGCAGCCTCCTCGGGGGCCTCCTTGGCCTCACCCTCAGCCTCGGCGCCAGCAACCTCAGAGCCAGGGGCCTCGGACTTGTCACCGACAGTCTCCTTAGCCTCGTCAGCTTCAGTACCAGCGGCTTCTGTGGCGGGTGCTTGAGACCCGGGGAGTTCGGACTTCTCGGCGACAGTCTCGTTGGCTTCGTCAGCCTCTGTACCAGGCGCTTCGGACTTCTCAGCGACGGTTCCCTTCGCCTCGTCAGCTTCGGAAGCCTCAGGCTTCTCGCCAACGGCGTCCTCGGGGGTGAGCTCCTCCGCCGAGACATTGTCTGCGGTGGACTTGGGGCCAACGGTGCTCTGGTCGTCCTCAGGCTGGGCGCCGGACGCGGCCTTGGACTTGTCGGCAGCGCTGCCGGCGGCAGAGCCCGTAGCCTTGGAAGCAGCCGTCCCAGCGACGCTGCCTCTCTGCTCAGCATCCTTGCCAGACTCACGGGAGGCGGCCTTGCTGGAGCCGGCAGCACTTCCCGCAGCTTCCTTCGCCTGCGAAGCGACATCCACGCGACCAAGAACATCGCCCTCGTCGCCGAGGATCTCGCCCTGGTCGTTGGGCACCTTGCCCGCCAGCTCCTCCGGCTCGCCCTCGACGAGCTTCCCAACAGTCTGGCCGGCATCGTCCTTGATGTCGCCCGACTCCGAGACAGCCTTACCGGCCAAGTCGGCGACATTGCTCACCGCAGCGGTAGCAGTGTCCGCCGCCTGCCCAACAGTGTCGGCAGCCTGGTCGACGATCCCATTAGTCTGCTCATGCTGGCCCTCCTCCTCCTCCTCTTCTTCTTCCTGGTCTTCATCCGGACCACCAGCCTGACTAGCATCCACGCCATCCTGCTGGTTCTGGAACGCCTCCGCCAGAACATCGACCACGCCGATCAGGTCGCCATCCTCGTCGAGGATCTCCCCATTGTCGCCGACGGTATAGCCGACCAGATCCTCGGGCTTGCCCTCGACGAGTCGACCAATCGCGTTCCCGTCCTGGTCGTGGATGAGCCCGTCCTCGCCGACCTCCAGACCCTTAAGGACGGAGAGATCGAGATGCTCGGGGTGCGACTCGGTGGGTCCGCCGTTCAAACTCGGAGTCGGCTGCTCCTGCCCATTCTCTTCTTCTTCCTGCTGTTCCTCCTGGCCCTCCTCCTGAGGCTCTTCCTGGGGCTGCTCGGCTTCACTCTCGCTGCGGCCCACGCGACTCTGGGCGCGGGAGCCCGACGCAGAAGCCGAGGCCTGGGAAGGAGCGTCCTTGGGGGCCGGGACGGGGGAGTCGCGCTGCTCGGACTGGTGGCGCGCAGCGGAGGCCTTGCCCTTCGGGGTCGGGGTGGTGGGCAGGCTGGAATCCTCCTCAGTCTTCTCGGTGGCACCGGATTGCTCGCGGCGGAGCTTGGGCGGCGTGCCCTTGCGCGAGTCGGGGCTAAGGTTCAGCTTGGAGACTTTGCTGATGAAGGGGGAGGACATGATGAGGAGGAGGGGGATGATCAATGAGTAATGAATGGTAGTGAATGATGGTTAAGTGAGGTGAGATGTGTGTGGTGTGGTGTGTGTTGAAGATGTGAGATGGTAGGGTATGGTTGAGCGAAACAGGAAGGTGCGTGGGATGGGGGATGCAGTGGTATAGGGCAGTCGTCCCGAACAGGCAACTGCGCGTCGATCGTAGTTGTTGTACTGTAGTATGTAGTCGTGGTAGTCGTGGTAGTGGTCCTAAACCCTCAGCCTGGAATCAAACAAGCTAGCTAAGGCCGTGTCGTCGTGCAGTGTGCTTCGTTATTAGGTAGGTCGGTAGAGAAGTAGGGAGTCGTGAACCGTAAACTAATATACAAGTCGTGGATGGGGTTTTGTGGTGTAGTTGCGAAAGAACAATTCTGAATCTAGAATCCAACCCCAGCGAGTCCCGACATCCCTCCCCTTTTTATGTTGCATCTTGTGTATCGTGACGAGGATGATGATGATGATGTCGATGTGTGTCGATGTGTGTCGATTTGTGTGTGTGTGTGTGTGTGTGTGTGTGTGTAGTTCGCAGCTCTATCCACCTACGTCATGCGCTACGAGCTCTGTGCTGCCGGGGCCAAGCCCGTTCGACCTGTAAGCCCTACGCGTCACATCTGGGGGGGGGAGGGGGGGTGAATGGGCTGTGGGTTGTGGGCTGCAGGGATTGACTTGGTAGCAGTGATGCAGGGTGCGGTGGGTGGTGTCAGGGCACAGAGACAGGGACATGCTACAGAAGGGCATTCAAGTGCATTGGAGTACAGTACCTGTACGTCGGAGTGGAGAAGTGGAGAGGGGACTAAGGTAGAGTGGGTGTCAATGCCGTGCTTTTGTGGCTTTTTCATCATCGCGGATCCACTTCCTCGGCCGAGGATACGAAACTGGCTCGGGGTTAAGGGAGGGGGAGGAAGCATTGCGATGGGTTCGAGGAGGTCGACACTCGATCATCATTGCGTCAGGTTGTGCAGGGATGTAAGGCCTTCGATGGTCAGATGTACTGAGTATATCGTATTAGGGCAGCGGGACGGGATCCTGCTGCTGGTTGATGTATGGGGGCGGCAGCGACATCAGCGTGCAGGAGTGGTGGTATAAAAGGATGGTGGCTTCAAAGAGAATCGTCTGAATTGATTCTGTTTGCTGCAAGCGTCTCCTTTGCTCACACTTGTGTATATGCATACTATCGATTTTTCCAGGAGGTACTCCACTCTGCAGGGTATGTAGTCCCTGTCTTCCCTGCCCCTGTCAGTCCACTCAGTACCTGGCTGTCACTGCCATCGAACAAAGACATGGGCGGTGTTGCTGGGCGGCGGATGAGATCATGGGCGGCTCCACTTTTCACATCTCGGAGAATTGATCAAGCCACCCAGAGTGTATCCGTGCCCACGAGTTTAATTGGAGGTCCCGCCTGGTGACGTATCGGGGCAGGGCTGGAGGTCTGCAGTCCTGAGATGTCTGGATGTTCGGAGTGATGACGGACAGTGGCGTGAATACGTATGCAGTGGTACAGTATGGACTGCTCCTGACCAACTTAACTGGTTACAGCTGTGTAGTACATCCTCAGGTAGTATGTAGATAGCATAGCATAGCATAGCATAAAACCTTTCCAGCTCTTTTAATTAGCGACTCAATGTACTCCGAATTTCTTCTGAACTAATTGTATTCTCATCAGACGCATGAATCATGCTCAACGACGAATACGTATGGTCTCAAGCTGACAGAAAGATAGCAGTCCGTTAAATGTCAACTCGAAACTGGGGCATGCCAAGGGGTGGAATCCGGATCGCGGCGTGACGTAATGAGTGAAGATCGCGTGGCGCGCCCCAGCCCGGCCTAACGCATTGGCTAAAATGGGTGGTGGGCGGTCTAGACTACTGTTAATTTCTTCTTAGTGGGATCGGCAGGTTTTCGATGGTCGCTGCCATATCCAATTGTACTGTACTTGTGCGTAGAAGGAAGAGAGGTGATGGGGGGTCATTCACCAGCCAGCCCTACCTAACCCTGCCAACTTCTTACCTTTAAGCACTAGGAATTCTCACACTTATAAGCAGGGGTGACCAGTTATATATAAACAATGATGCACATACTATGTAAAAGAATGTTGCTTACACCAATGCCACTGCAATAGCCCACACTAGTGTAAAAAGCGATATATTCCAAGCATATGTACCAAGTATAAACACAACGCCAACCACTTTAGCCCCAACCACAAAGACAAGCATAGTAAAGCACACAATTTCCCATCCAACCCTATCAGCCCTATATACCCTGAATCTCCATCGTCCACCACACCACACCACACCGTACCTTTCTCTCCTACCCAACTCCATCCCCCTCTCAGACACGAAGATCACCCCTTCCCCCTCTTCCCCTCCTTTCCAGCCTCAACACCACTCTCCGCAGCTCCCCCCTCAGCAACCTTCCTCCTCCTTATCTCCCGCAAAACCCGCTCATACCGCTCAAACCCCTTCCCCCACCCGCTCTCCCCAGGCTGCGTCCGCACCCGAAACACATGCGCCTTCCGCGTCCACCCCATCCCCGAACACCCCGGCTTGATGGCATTGTGCGCCGCGCCGCCAGCCATCGGGTCCAAAAATCGGCTAACCTCCGTGTTGCCTGGGCTGACGTACAGCGGGTCGTCCTCGCGGTAGTCGTCGAGGGCGCACTCGGCGTCCGAGGCCAGCACCTCCAGCGCCGGGTCGGTGATGGTCGGGTCGAACGACCACGGGTGGTGGGCGGCCGCGTCGTCGGTGCCGCTCTTCGAGGTCTCGTAGGACTCCGGCCGCAGGAGGTGGCGGTCCAGGTCGGATTCCGGGTGGCGGTTGCGGTGGTGGCTGGAGAGGTAGGAGGAGGACGGGGTCGGGGCCGGGTTGGGGCTGGGGCTGGTGTGGGGGGATCGCTTGGAAGGTGTTTTGTAGAGGAGAGGGAGGTGGGTTTGGGGTTTTATGCCCCGAGAGAGGAGGAGAGGGCGGGAGGTTTTGAGGGTTGTGCGCCACATTGTGGGTTGGCTGTGGAGTTTGAGATGGTTTGAGATGTAATAGTTGTAGTAGTAGATGTGTGTGATGGGGTCAGAAAGTCACGGTCTGTCGCACCGACTCTTTATGGGAATGGATGAGGTTGAGTTTGACGCTTCACATGCTGACGTCAAGATGCTCGATACGATCCGAACCATGGGTGCCGTGCGACTTGGGCCTGTCAGAACACCACACCAGACTCGCTACCAGCCATGACCGCAATTTCCTGTGTCTTCATTCATGGGTAATCCTGTCCGGCAGTCTGGGGTTGGTTAGACTTTGGCAAACAGGATACAGCCTCCATCTCGACTGCAACCCGCTCACAATATACTCTTTGCCCTAAGTGCCCTAAGGATAGGAACGCTCGCCATCCAACATGACCATAAAGCTCAATTCATCTCCCTTCATTACATTAAGCTAAGCCTTAACCGCATACCGCCTCCTCAACTTCTCATCCACATACTCCAAATAATACGTCCCCGGAAGCAAATCCCCCACATCGCCACGAGGCACATACTCCCTCCGCTGAAACGCCGCCTCCCGCAACCGACACATCTCATCCCACACCTCCGGCGCAGCCGACACACGAGCCGCCAACCGGCTGTGCAGATCCAGCCTCTGCGCCATCACACTCGTATCCCCGCGCACCACCAACGTGAACAGGGTACTCGCCAGCCCACTCCCATAACTGAACATGCCAATCCTCTTCCCCTGGAGCCGCTCACTCGGCACGGAGGCCAGCAACCCCACGAGCCCGGAGTACAGACTGGCGGTGTACATATTCCCGCACTGAGTGGGGACCAGCAGACCGGGCTGCACCCTCTCCTCAAAGCGCGATCTCGCTAGCGCCATCAACTGCTTCTCGAGACCCTTATCCCCGAGGGTACTCTCATCATCCAGCCTCGCCGGCCGCAGCTCCTCCGGGATATTCCCGGTGCGAAGCAGATCGTTCCACAGCAGCCGCGCATACGCTTTCGCCACGAGCTTGCAGTTCGGCGCGTGAAAGAGGAAATAATCGAAGGCGTCGATGTCAATCCCAGTGGCCCCCTCCCCCAAAGCCGTCATCTTCCTAACCCAACCCCGATAGCACCCATCCACCGCCTCCAGATAACACCTCCCCGACCCCACCCCATCCACAAAAGCAGCCTCTCTCCCAAAATCCGCTTTGAAGAAGTCCCACGCATGCCGCATATACGACGCCCGCGGCAGCCCCGCCTCCAACACCACAGGCGCATCCGCGCCCACCAGCATCGCCACACACCCCACGCCTCCCGTGGGCCGTGCGGCGGCATCCTCCCTTGCATACGCGGCGATGTCCCCGCAGACGACCACGGCGTCACGCCCGTCCCACGCGGAGGACTCGATCCACGCGACGGCAGCCAGCAGCGCGGCGGTGCCGCCGTAGCAGGCGTTGTAGGTGTCCACGCCCTCGATGTCGGGGTTTTCCGGCGTAAAGAGCTGCATGAGCACGGTTTTGGTGGATTTGGAGCGGTCGAGGAGGGATTCCGTGCCTACGCCTAGGTAACCAATGGAGGTTGGGCGGATGGTGTTTTTGTGGAGCAGGGCGGAGAGGGTGGTTAGGGCTAGGGTGTTTATGTCTATCCAAGCCGTGAATCAGTGGGTTCGCTGTTTGTTAGGCGTGAGGGTCTGAAGAGGGGTACTCTGGGGATGCATGGGATACCCTCGCGGTCATCGCAGAAGCTCATGTTCGTTTGGCCCAGGCCGATCGTGTGCTTGCCGGCGCTGACGTGCATGTATTTCTCGAGGTCGGGTTGGGCAACGTACTGCCTCCGGATCATTGCGTTAGATTACACCTGATGAAACCTGGGAGAGATGAGTGGAGACAGCTTACGCGGTTGGGAAAATAGATCTCAATGGCTTTGATGCCGACGTTCTGGGGGCGGGTCATTTTGATATATCGCGATGGATAGAGGGTCACTCAGGATGGGAATCGAGAAAGGAAGATGTGCTTTGCTGACACTTTGAGCTTGTTGCTTGATCTATAAGCTTTCGCATTCCGGGGTATTTATGTCTGGCCGACAGAGCCCCGGGTATCGGTGTCGGTATCAGGACTAGGCATCAGTGCTCGCGACTACGGTGTACATCAGAGCATACCGGCCACGATGCTGTCCGGACCACCGGGATTTCCTCTTCAAGTCATCGATTAGGGCTGAGACCATCCTAGTCGATTGTACTAGAGTGTGCTGTTCAAAGCTAAGAGGCCAGGTTCGTGGTGGGTGGTGTGGATGTGTGATGAAGTGGTAGATGGGTGTGGGTTGTTGGTGATGGAGGTTATACGGCACCACCTCAACTGGAAATGCACAATCCACACTTCAAACGATTGACGCCAGCAAGGCTCACTGTTCCCCAGACAAACGGGTAAGACATAGTGCCAATGATGAATGCTCCTAGTCGGGCCTCACGGCGGACCTGTAGCCCCGCGCCCCCTCCCCCTGCCCCCTCCCAACAACCCTGACTCGAGGACCATCCGTTGCTTCAAACTCCTTGTCTCGATTCATCATTCCTCCCCACCCGGCGGCGGCCAGGTTTAGACCACTACCAGGTGCCTCTGGAAGGGGGAACTTGACCCGACCCAACAATTTTCCCTCCATGCAGAAACATAGAATAAGCCAATTCTGACATCGTATTCGTAATGCTTATCATGAGCCCGTGGATTGAGCCATGCTGGCTATATCATTGAGACGAATTGGATCTAATCCCCAAGGATGGTTGAATCTACTTAGTACTGAATAGCGTACAGCGATCCGATCAAAGCAACCGTCTAATCCACCTGTATGTACAGATCTTTCTTGTTACGCATCGAGGCCAAGCACCCCCCCCCCTCCCAGAGTCCAGTGAAAGTACACGCAGTCCGGTGATCTGGAGCTTGCTATTGATAACATGCAACGTATTCTGCACCTCTGTGTTGGAGGTTGCTGGAAGATCTTGGCTGACTAGCTTAACCGAGCGGTGTATAGGTACATGCTGGGGGGTGGTTCGCCGGATATCGGAAGAAGTTCCTGCGGAGTAAATCGTCAACTTGACTGGTTGATATCAACAACTGTAGTAGTCTTTCAGTCTGCCCTTATGTTTTTCGGGTGTCACTCAATTATATATGAGTATACTGTCTTATTGACTTTCAACTACACCTAAAGTTGATATGAGACGGGAATAGGTTTGTATGTAGTAAGTGTGGTTGAATGCGGTCATTTTCTGTTTGCGACTGCTGTGTCGTGAAGGTGTGAAGCGCGGAATATACATATATATCAGGTCCAAGTGCAACCTAGATCGATAGATGGGTCAGTTGGCAGCCGGTTACGTTCTGATCTCGCTGGGATATTGATGACAATGGTCCATTAGCTCTGTAAGGTGTCATTGTATAATTGTGATATGATTTTCGAAGCTGGGGAGATATGTATCTGGGGGTATGGGGGTGTAATCCCCGTGATACATGTGTCGGTAGGGGGCACCCCCTCCACCACAACCCCTCCACTACGCTCCGGGTGTGACAGGGGGCCTCCAGCCCCCCGTACCCCCCTAACTTATCTCCCCAGCTAGAAAATGAAAAGCATTATACTATAAGCCACACATTCATTCATATCAAACTTTGAAAACGTAACCACATTATAGGAAAAAAAAATAGCATCAACAGTCAGTAACCTGCCGCAGTAGGCCAGACTGGACAGTCCAGTCAACTAGGTAGACCCAGCAACGAGACCCCGGGGGCGGGAAAATAACCCGTTCATCCCGGCCACGCCTCGCAACTGCTCTCCCCACTCCGCTTTATAATCCTCCCAACTCACATTCGACTGATGCGCGTACCGGCCTACCTCATCGTCACACGACAGCTTCACCAGGTACTCCTCGTCGTACACACAGTTCAGCAGCTCCCCAAACTGCCGGAACGCCCGCTTCAGCGCGTCTGTCTCCGCCTCCTTCATCGTCTTTCCCATGGCCATCAATCGATCCCGCGTCCCGGACATCATCCCTTCACCGGCCGCCTCCCGCGACACCTGCCGTCCGTCCACATACACCGTGATCCGCACCCGAGCCATCGCCATGACCTCCCACTTACCATCGCTGATCTCGTTCACCGGCCACGGGGACGGAACATCCAACACCGCCGTGCTGTATCCATCAAACCCGAACACATCATTCATGATCCGGATCACATCCGCCTCCGACACGTACTGTAACTTCTGCCCTCCCGGGCCCGGTCGCTCTCGTATGAACTCCGCGCCCAGCTGCCCGTCCAGCTTCGCCCTCATCGCCTCCCTTCCATGGGGCTTCTCCTGCTCCGCTGCCATCTCGTCCCTGATCCTGGATTCCTGGGCTACTCCGTATCGCCGCGCACTGTACAGGCTCCCTGACAAGCTCCGTCAAGGGGAGGGGAAAATAGAGAATCAAAAACACGACCCGGATCTCCGGGAGGTGCTCACTCTATATACTATACTATCGCTACCCCGCATAGTGACGTGTCAAAATGGCGCTAACCGCTTTTATTCCCAAAAGATCGTCTTGGGACGGCCTTCGGCCCGCATTTCGTTTAAAAGGAATGGCCCGTCAAGTCGTATCTCTGCGGCCCTGCGGAGTTAACGACCGTAGCCAGGTGCGTAGCAGTAGGTTTTTGGGAGTATGTGGGGTTTGGTGCGGGTGTGTTGCTCCCCGCTTGGCCTGTGGCCAAGGGTCCGCCAAATCGCTGCGTGGGCCGTTAGGCGCACGTATCGCCCCGGTAAGGGCGACACCTGTGATTCCTTCTTAGCGATTTTGCGGGCCGTAGGCCGTCCCGATTTGGAACAAAGTGGTTAGCGCAATGATCTGACGGAACCAACCAGCGCGCTGCTGAGTTGTTGGTCATGTATACCCCGCCTTTGGGGGTCTGGGTATAAGGACTGGGGGGAGTCCCCCGCGATCGTTCGTATATATTCGGCGTGCAAGGGACGCGACAGATTCCGTCTGAGTTCAGGTTTTCTTGTCCATTCGGGTCTCAGCGATGGGCGTTGCTTTGCTTGATTCTTTAACGCCGTCTGTGGGAACGGACTTTGTACAGAGCAGGGGCAGGTGTCCGGGTTATAGTCCATGGACAAAGAAAGAAACGCTGTGGCCTAAGCACTAATGCAAGGCTGGAGTGACCCATATACCGACATCCAAGTTGACAGTGGATTCGAAGAACGAAGGGGAGAAGTACCTCCTGGTCAATTAACCTAGCTAGTAGTCAGGAGGGTACACGATGCCGGGTATTGGCGGAGAGAGTGGCGCAGAGCGACACGTCGTCAGCTCAGCCTCTCGCGGGACTCTTACTGTTATTTGATAAGCGCTGGATCGAAGGAAAGTTGCAAAGCACAAGGTGGAGAATCTTTCCAAGTGTCGAAGACGATGATTCTGTAGCATCTTGGGGTGATTTACGACCCGTCAGGGAATAGGCGTAGCAGCGGGCGTGTGCGATGGACCTGGCACGTCGCATTGTTGACAGGAAGGGGAAACAACATGCGAGTCTGGGCGGTCAGATATCCGCGAAGCAATTAATGATCAATACACCAAGTGGTGCACAATTTTCGATGTTCAGGCTTGCTCTGCCGAAAAGCAGTAGCAAGTATATCCGACACTCAGACGGACTATGTGGGCCTACAACATTAAATCCATTCCTCACAACCATCTTCATCACCAGTGCCCAACATCCACCCCCAAACACTAGTAATGCCCATCAACCGTCAAGGTCCCCGTCTTGGTGACCAAATACTCATTCACCGCGACCTCCTTGCCACTCTCCTTCCCATACCCCGACTCCTTAACCCCACCGAACGGTGCCTCCGCCGCCGACGACGACCCGGTATTCAACCCAATCATGCCCGCCTCCAGATTCTCAAACAACCGCCACAAGCGATCCGCATTCTTAGTGAAAGCGTAACTCGCCAGCCCCATAGCGGTATCATTCGCGCGCGCGACGGCCTCCTCCTCAGTCTCGAAGCGATACAGCGCGGCAATCGGCGCGAACGACTCCTCGCTCGACACGCGCATGTCGGCCGTCATATCCCTCAGGATGGTGGGCTGAAAGAAGTACCCCGTGCCAGGTACTTTGTCCCCGCCGAGCACGACCGTCGCCCCCTTGGCCGTGGCATCCTGCACCTGCTGCAGCGCCTTTTCGACTCCTTGGGGCGTGGTCAGCGCACCCATCGTGACCCCGTCCTCCCACCCATTCCCCACCCTGATCTGCCTCTCGGTGCGCTCCTTCAGCATCCCCACGAACTTGTCATACACCCCGGACTGCACATACACCCGGTTCGCAGTGATGCACGCCTGGCCGGCGTGCCGCCACTTGAGCGCCATGAGCATCTCCAGCGCCTGGTTGAGGTCGGCATCATCGAAGACCAGGAACGGACAGTTGCCGCCCAGCTCCAGCGTCATCTTCTTCAGCCCGGGCGCACAGTACCCCGCCACCAGCTTCCCGACGCGCGTCGACCCGGTGAACGTGACCTTCCGGACGGCCGGATCGCGACACAGCGCCTCGCTGACGGCGGGGGTATTCTCCAGATCCGTGGTGATGACATTCAACACGCCGGCCGGGAACCCCGCTCGCTTGGCCAGCTCCCCCAGCACCAGCGCACTGACCGGCGTCTCCGGCGACGGCTTCACGATCATGGTACACCCCGCCGCGAACGCCGCCGCCGCTTTCCGGACGACCATCGCCACCGGGAAGTTCCAGGGGACCAGCGCGGCGACCACGCCGATCGGCTGCTTGACGGTCAGGATCCGGCGGCCGGGGATCGCGGCGGGCGTGATACTCCCGGAAATGCGCTCGGGCTCGCCGACGAACCACCATGTGAAGGTCAGGGCGTAGTCGATTTCCCCGAGGGCTTCGGCGAGCGGTTTGCCGGTTTCGTGGACGAGGATCCGCGCCAGGTCTGTTCGGTGGGTGCGGATCTGCGTGTCCCAGTTTTGGAGGAGCTGGGCGCGGTGGCGCGCGGTGGTGGTGCGGAAGGTGCTGAATGCTGTGGAGGCGGAGTGCGTGTAGCTGGAGATGTCGGTTGCCGTGTTGGTGGGGATGCTGGTCCAAGGGGTTGTGGTTGCGGGGTCTGAACACTGTTAGGTTGGGAAGGGAAGAGGGGGGGTACGGGGCGTTTCCCCCGTAAGTTTTAAATGTTTTATGTCTGGGTTGAATAGGATGGAAAGGAGATGGGGGCTACGGGGGTTCTTCCCCCGTATATCCTCAAAATATTATAGAAGTATCTGTGTAGGTGCATCATGTGGGCAAGAGAGGGGGGTACGGGGGGTCTCCCCCCGTAAATCCAGACCATCAGAACAACATTATGATGCAGTCTGAATAGTGTATTGAGAGAGGGTATGTGAAGTTATAGCAGACAATGTAAGAGACAGACCTATAACCTCGAATCTCCCCCCACTGCTTGCCGGCTTCCACTCATTGTTGACGAAGGAGTCGAAGTGGAGAATCGACGGGTCATCGAGCTGTCCATCTTAGTCTTCGTCGATGCTAGTGAGAAGATTCTACTGTACTTACCTTGAAGGGGAGGTCATATTTCTGAGCCATGGTGATATGTTGTATAGACAGGGGACTGTCTTGTGGCAGCTGGTACACAGAGGTTGGATTGAGGAGGATTCAAGTGAGGGGTCAGTTATCTCATATTTAACTGTAAGCTCAGCTCAGCTCAGCTCACCCCGCACTTCACCACAAACGAGATCGGCAGGGTTGATCATTCCGTCAGCTGCAACTACTCTTGGCTGAGTGTAACCACATTACTGTACAGTGATCCTTCGAGCACCCGACTTCTGCAGCCACTTTCTGGCCTCTCGATAGAGACACGGCTGCACATGTTGTTTCCAGATAGCCACTCCTGCATACATCCAGTCGAGAAATGCGCCGGATATGACGTGTGGCATTCCTGCTCGGCGTGATAGCCCAGCTTTCTGTCATATCTTGCAATGTACTCGTCACTGTGGCACTGCGCCCGATTATTGATGTCATGGGTTTGTGTTTTGCTGGGAAGTTGAAAGAAAGGGGGGTCCGGGGGTTCTCCCCCGGGAAGCCTTTATTATGTGTTTTAGGGTTGAGTGTTACTGGGAAGCTGAAAAGAAGGGGGGTCCGGGGGTTCTCCCCCGGAAAGCCTTACTCTCCAGTGCAAGTGGTGGGGTGGTGGGACAAGTATATCGTTACAGTGCGTGAAAGTACTCCGTACATGTATCATATGATCTTCATGATCTACAAGGATATATCTCCAAAACAAATCCCACTCTATCTATGGTATACTACAACTTCGCCTTCTCGCTCTGAGCAGCCAGATCAGGCATCAACACATCCCGCAAGTCGGAAGCCGCCTCGTTCAGATAGTAGCTCATCCGCTCCGCGCCCAGGCGCTTGCAGACGATGTTGAAGTTCAAACTACACACATTAGTCATGGCCTAGCCATACAGTGACGGAAGAAACTCACCTGTTCTCGTTGATCATGTAGGCAATACCAAACCCATCGTCAATTACTTGACTCCATCCGTAGCCGTTGAAGAACTCCGAGCTCAGCTGGCTGGTGGACAAGTACCACGACCCGCTGTAGGCATAAGCTGGGTCCTCGTACAGGGCGGGCAACTTCTCCCCCTCCTTCACCAATTTCTTCAGTCCAAACAGGTGACGGTCCACGCCCCGGCCGTCGCCGGCCTCCGCCGTGTACTTCGAGTGGGCGGCCAGCGCCGCGCGGAACAACCGCACCACCTCCTCCCGAGCAACGGCCGGGTCGCTGATGGCCTTGCAGAAGGCCACGCTCTCGTCCGAGACCGTGCGGATCGTCTCTGTCCGGCCCTCCTGGAACTTGCGGGTCGACGCCGACTCGTACGTCGGCCGGTTCTTGCCGTACATCTTGTAGTAGGCCAGCTGGATGATCATCTGCACGTACGCATCCGGACTGCATTTGAACTTCTTGATCAGACCCTTGCCGTAGCCCTGGTACGCTTGCACCTTCAGCTCGTGGTTCGAGATCTGCTGCCGGTGCTCTTTGGTGGCGGCCTCGATCGCCTCCTCCACCTCGCCGTTGAGGTGGAAGTTGATCGGCCGCGGGTCGGGCAGGTCCGACCGCACCGCCTGCTCCGAGAGGTCGATCTTGTTGGCGAAGATCAGGCTGTTGAGGTGGTCGTTCAGGCGGTGGGTGGGACTGCCGTCCATCATACTGTGCTCACCCATGAAGCCGGCCGTGCCGTTGTCGTTGACGATGAACTGCAGCGGCTTGTCGAACCAGCGGTTGGCGCCATCTCCGTGCCAGTATTGGTGGGCGCGCTCCTCCAGGGTCACGGGCGACGCGTCGTCCAAGCACACCACGAACCCGGCCGACTCGATGTCCCGCAGCGCCTGCTCGTTCGCCGGGTGAGCTGCCAGCAGCTTCTTCCGGGCGTCGGCCCATGAGTCTCGGTTGGCGACCGTCAGCACGCCAACCGGGGGCGACCGCTGGGCGATCTGGTAGATCCGCTCAAACTGGCGCTGGAACTCGGAGTTGTTCAGAGGTCGGCCGTTGATGGCCAAGGGCACCTTGAAGAACTGGTTCTTGCGCACCACCACGATGTGCTCGTGGTCCAGGGCGGGGAACTTCTGGGGGTAGTCCACCCCATCGCCGGGAATCCGGCAGCAGTTGAACATGTACTCGTACGAGCTCATCGCTATGGGCTGGCCGCGCATGTACTCCGGCTCCAGCTCGCCCGAGTCCACCTGGCGCTTGAACTCGAGCGCGGCGGTGGTGACCGAGGCGGCCCGCTTAGCGGGGTCCCGCCGGGCGCGATCGTCGCGGTACGAGTAGAAGTAGGAGACGTAGGGGATGACCGGGTCGCGGTAGGCGAGATACGCCGCGTGGTTCCACCATTCCAGAAGCCAGTTCTTGGTCTTGGGGTCGGCGGCGCGGGCGAGCAGCCTTTCCTGCAGGGGCTCACCCTCACCACCGGGACGCACGAATGCCTCAACCGCTTTTTTGGTGCGCTCGTACTCCGCCTCGGACACCAGGGGGTGGACGGACTTTAAGTAGCGCCGGCCGGTTTCCTCTAGCGAAGGAACGGGCAATCGGGGGAGTGAGTCTTCGAAGCGGAGCATCTTTCCTTTGGAGAGATCCTCTGTGTAGCCTGTGCCGGAATGCACGTTAGCCGTCTTATTGCTGGAAAGTCGGCAGCCTTTCGCTTACCCTCAGGGACAGATGAGGCCTTGCGCCGGGGAGCCATGACTGGAGACTACGCAAGAGACACATTAGTCGCTATTTTATGGAGAGGAGAGATGCTCTTACCACGGCGGATCTGGCGAGAAGTGAATTTGTGGGGGGAAGACGGGGCCGTAGGAGAGTGGGGAGGCGGCTTCTGCTCGCAGCCGTAAACATCCCTCACGGTTGTGACTGGAAAGGAGAGCGTCGTAGAAAAGAGGTGAGTTAGTATTTGTGAGGTAGAAAGTAGGACAGCGAGAGGCAGAGTAGGGGGAGGAATAAGAAGGAAGAGAGCAGCCGGTGGGAGAGGAGGAAGAGGAAGACCACATGAGACGATCAGGCCGGCCAAGTCGGGGAAAAGCCTCGGCAGCAGAGCGACGGCAGCTCACCCGACCGAGGGCGGGTCACAGCCTGTATATTACCAGTATGCGGGACCTTCTGGGTGATCGACAGGCAGCCAAGTGGGTATGAGTGAGGTAAATTACGCCGTCCCATTACAGGATCCGCGCGCTTATGTAATGCCCCAGACCGGCCACCAGCCTCGGTTCATGGGAGCTCCAGTTCTTGCTGTAACGTCCCCGGAAGATCATGACAAGGATACAAGGGAGACTATCCTGAGTCCAAGATTAATTCTTGTGCAGTATCCCAGAGTACACGAGCATCATTCATCCTCAAATGTCTACATCTCGCTTCTAGAGACTGTCCCCAAGCCCCCCTTCACGCACTGTCAACCGTCGCCGTAGGTGGTCCCGTCGAAATGCGGGGAGAAACTGGGGACGGAATCAAGGTGGGGGTCAGTCTTCGGATTCCGCCAGAATCAGCTGCCTGCTCACTCAACCGCTGAATTGTTTAGAGATATCTAACAGTATCGTCTCTGCACTGCGGCATCATAGCCCACGTATAGCCCTGTCCAACTCATCATTCACATGAACCCTTCCATTCACCCGTCCCGCTTGCCCGAGCCACTGGAACGAGTTCATTGGTCGCACCGCAAGGAGTGACCGCCTCCAACTCAAATGTCACTCTCAATCGTCTGCCTACAGATAATGCTTACGTTGTGAAAACCTGGCTCAGAAAGAATCATGGCATTATATCATGGGTATCATGGGAGGTTTACTATGTTCCGATGCGCTAACACGGTGGTGGTTGCAGTCCGGTTTGACTGCGTGGAAGCTTCACTGGTCTTACCGCATGTGAATCCACCGTGTCTCTGTACAGCTCGTTTCCTAGGCAGTCAAGGCCGATCTTGCGACACCTCCTCCACAAACTCCATTAAGCTCGGTCGCGACTCACTAGAATCAGATCTCCAACTCTGGTGGCGCGAAGTCGCGGACTTGCCCTTCTCAGCTCGGCCAGACACATCCGCCCCGCGCAAGGGGTAGGTTTGGACGGTCAACTCTTCCCGCGACAGACTGACCTTCATCTTCTTGTTGTTCCCCGAGCTGGAGAGAGCTCGGAGCTCGCCGTGATGCGCGTACGCCGCTTCCCAGCTCAGCACTCCCTTGCCCGCATCGGTACCCTCCGACGACTTCGCCCCTTTATGTGAAATGGTTGTCACAATATCGAGTAGCATGAAGTGGGCGAGAGCGGCTGCTGCTTCATTTTGCAGTCCAATGCGACTGGGGGGCTTGACCTCGGGGTGATGCGGCAGGTTCACCGTGATTTCATAATAGGTGCCCGATGGCGGATAGACGGTGTTGGTCCGGACTTTGACGCAGAAGGAGCTTTCGGGGGTGAGGAGGTTGCCGGTGAACGTAGATTCGAATGGCATCAGGAACTGTTTGACCAGGGTCTCCACTTGGGGCACGGAAGCGTGCACTTTGGGAAGTCTCACGGACGAAAAGGGGGCGGACGTGAAGCCGCAACGAAGTCCGGCCGACTTCAGGACCCCGACGATGTCACCCATGAAGGACTCCAGAGACCGTACGTGCGCGGTGTGCTGAAGGTATGCCATCACCGGACGCAGCAGCTGGTACTCGGGAACATGTCGTCGTTTGGGAGTCAGAGGGGGCGGGGGCTGCGTCCTGCGTCGTAGGTTCTGTCGATGGGCGTAAGCCAGTAGAATGCGGACCGAGTGCGCTACTGCATCCGCAATGGTGTCGTGTTCGTTCGAAAGCATCTCTGTATCCGCCGGTTCGCCCTGGTCGACATCCACCAGATCCAGCAGAACCTCCTGTTCCTCCGAAACGGGAACCTGTATGAGGTTCTGACGAGTCGTCACGCCCTGACTGCCCATTATGCGAGCCTCGCGTACCATCTCATGGAACAGCTCTTCCTCGTAGACCGTGTCGCGCGCCTGTAAAATCCGGCCCTCAATCGAGTCTGCATCCGGTAGAGACCACGAAACCTTCGAACATCCAGTAAATTGCCCCTGCGTCTTAACCCGCACGCGGACCGTCCTGACCTTCTGAGGAATCA